GCAGGAATGAGGGGGAGCACTGCCTAGTGGGGTTTGGTGTGAAACAACATGGGCCAGTCTCATTTTCTCTCCAAATCTCAATTTCTTATAATAATAATAGGAGTCACTCAATGTGTGTTGGTTATGATATAGGCTTGGCCGTGTGTATGAAAGATTCAAATTAACAGTAGCTGAACAAGATGGGAGTTTATTTTCTGCTCAGTAGCAGTCCAGAGGTCATCCTCCTGGAACGCAGGTTCTTTCTAGCTTGTTGCTCTGCCATATTGCAAAATGGCACCAGGAGGAAGGGAAGCAGGGAGGAGAGGAAGTTTCTTTAGCATCTCATTGGCAAGAACTCAGTCACATGGACCTACTTAAGTTCAAAGGAGACTGGGAAATGTAGTCTTTACTCTGAGAGGTATACAAAGATGGAGGTGTGGTTACTACAGACCATGGGTGGTAGGTGGGGGAGTGGATGTTGGAGACAACCAGGAATGTCTTTTCCAGCTATAAATAGTAGCATCAGTGATAGCTTCTTTGTTTATTTTTAAAAATTATTTATTTAATTTATGTTTTAATTTTTTTAAAATTTGCCATAGGGTACATGTGCTACCAGAGAAAGAGAGAGAGAGAAAGTGATAAAGCAAGCCACCACCAGGTCTGGGACTTGAGCTATGGTTGGCCATGTGGAAATCCAGCACCTTAACCACCATGCCACCTGTTGGCCCCAGTAACAGTTTCTACTTACTATATGCTATATCCTGTGTTAAGTGCTTTTTTAATAATTTGCTATGGGGCACGTGAGCTCATTAACACACAGAAAGAAAGAGAGAGAAAGTGAAAAAGCATCCCCAGGTGAATGGCCACATCATAATCCCTTCTCCTCCACTCTCCTCCTGGAATTTTGGGCAGGTATGCACATGCATCTGGTGTGGGTTTTTGGTTGTTGCTGTTTGTTTTGTTTTTTAGAAGGATTGTTTTATTTAAATTTATTTATTTATTTATTTTAATTTGACCAGAGAGGAACAGAGAGAGAGAGAAAGAAAATGAAAAAACAAGCCACCAGGTCTGGGACTCAAACCACAGTTGGCCACATGGGAGTCCAGTGCCCTTAACCACCACGCCACCTGCTGGCCTCCTGGTGTGTTTGTTAAGCTGTCAGTTCTGGGCCTATAACTGTGCAGCCAGCCATATGGGATCCGGCCATCTTAACCACCACATGGCTGGTGGGACTGCAAAGTACTTTTTATATATATGATCTCATTGACAGAACTATACTTATGCTCATTTTACATACCTGAGGAAATGAATGCCCAGAGAAGTTAAGAGACTTGCTGAAGATCACCCAGCTTTTATTTATTTTTTTAAAAAAAGAATTATTTTAGAGGCCAGCAAGTGGCATGGTGGTTAAGGGCGCTGGACTCCCACATGGCCGACCACGGTTCAAGTCTCGGACCTGGTGACTTGCTTTCTCACTTCCTCTCTCTCTCTCTCTCTCTCTCTATCTCTATCTCTTTCTCTGATCAAACTGGAAAATAACAATGATAATAATAAATAAATTTACATTAAAAAAGAATTATTTTATTTAACTTTATTTATTACTATTATTTTATAGTCTGATCAGACACACAGAGAGAGAGAGAGAGGGAAAGCGAGAAAACAAGTCACCAGGCCCAGGACTTGGACCATGGTTGGCCATGTGGGAGTCCAGCACCTTTAACTACCACGCCACCTGCCGGTCCCTTGCCCAGCTTTTAAGTGTTGAATCTTGGGTATGGGAGACTGTGGGATGAAATGAGGCGATCGATGGACAGAAGGCACTAGGAATACAGTAAGCACCCAATAATATCATCGTGAAAAATGTCGATAATGCAGACCAGCAGGTGGCGCAGTGGTTAAGGTGCTGGCCTCCCACACAGTCGACAGCAGTTCAAGTCCTGGACCTGGTAGCTTGAAACATGCTGGTGTGTGTGTGTGTGTGTGTGTGTGTGTGTGTGTGCCCAAAATCCAAAGAGGAGAATGGAGGAAAAGAGATTGTGTATGGCCATCACCCCTAAGGGCTGATTTCTTTCTTTCTTCCTCTCTCTGTCTCTCTCTCTCTGGAAAACACATGTGCCTTATAGTCAAAATCTCTCTTAAAAAAAGATGAGGGGCTGGCAGGTGGCATGATGGTTAAAGGTGCTGGATCCCGGATCTGGTGGCTTGCTTTGTTGCCTTCCCTTTCGCTCTCTGGTCAAATTTAAATAATAATAATGAATACAAATGGAATTAAATAAATGATTCTTTAAAAAAAAAAAAAAAAAGATGTTGGGGGCCAGCAGGTGGCATGGTCGTTAAGGGCACTGGACTTCCACATGGCCGGCCATGGTTTGAGTCCTGATCCTAGTGGTTTGCTTTCTCACTTTCCCTCTCTCTCTGGTCAAATTTAACTAATTAAATAAATAAATAAAGTTAAATAAAAATAAATTTAAAAAAAGATGCTGATAATGATCTTGATCATTGTTCTCTCATTATTTCCTCTGACCCCCAGACTGGCTTTGTCCCCAGAGTCCCCCTCCCAGCCGCCGCCGCCGCCGCTCCCTGAAGCGAATGGAGACGAAGAGAAATGCAGGTCAGAGCGAAAGCTGGAGGTGGAGTATATCCGCCAGGGCCTACACAGGCCACCCAAACCTCCCTAGGTCTTTCAAGTGATTTAATGGTGGGAGTTTGGTGCTTATAAATCGTTAGAAGGGCTGCAGAAGCGGAAGTTAGAAGGCTGGTCGCTGAGACACGAGGGCATCCCCTTGCAGCTACGGTAATCCATGAAATCGCTACCATTATCTCTCATGAGGTGGGTAGGCAAACAATGGAACATGGACGTTTGCCCACTCCCAAAACCCTCAGAATGGAGCTACCCTGGTTGCAGAAAAAAATGGCGACCTAGCTGCAAGGGAGTCTGGGAAATGTAGTTTGTAGATGTCTAGCCTCATAGCACCTGAAGGAATGTGGGTGAGAGAAAAAATGGGTGTTGAATTCCAAAGGGCAACGTCTAGCAGATCTTGCCATCCCTAAGCCCAGGGTGTGGGGTAGATGCTCCGAGCTCAAGTCAGAGGAAAATGGAAAGCAAGCAACACTGGATAGTATTAGAAGCATGAGTTCTAGTCCCAGCTCTGCTCCTTGGGAGCTGTGTGACCATCCACAAGTGAACTTGCCTCTCTCTAACTCGAGCCCTCTCCACAGAGCTCACCTTGAGGGTGAGGCTTCGGGGCAAAGGTGTAGGCGAGGCATTAGGTCAGCCGTAGTCATGGGGGTTAAATAGAAGGAAGGTGAGCTGGTGTTAGTTCCGGCTTAATCTTCCCTCTCGCCTTCTAATTCGGGTCCACAGTGAACAAGTTCAAGACCCCGCAGGAGCGGAAGTGCTGTGAGGCTGGGCTCCAGGAGAGCCCAGTGGCGTTGCCGTGTGTGGAGAGGGCCCTGCGTGTCCGCCACGGCCCCGACTGCGTGGCTGCCTTTCTGAGCTGCTGCCATCTTGCCGAGACCCTGACAAAGGAAGCCCTGGAGGAAGAGCTGATCCTGGGGACGAGTAAGGAGGCCATGGCAGGAGGCATGGGAGGGGGGACTCCATTGAGGGCTATGAGTGCCATGGACAAATTAAGGGGTGATATAGGCCATGGGGGGATGGGATGGGAGGATCCTGCTGAGGAACCTCATTGGCTACAAGAGTGACCTGGAAGGACCAGCAGATAGCATAATGGCTATGTCGCTGGACTCCCAGGTAGTCGACCGCGGTTCAAGTCCTGGACCCGCTTAAACTCACGCCGGGCACGTGTGCGTGCGTGCCCAAGATCCTGAGAGGAGAATGGAAGAGAAGGGATTGCAGCGTGGCCATCCCCCCGGGGGGTGATTTCCCGCTTTCTGTCTCTCTGTCTCTCTCTGTCTGTCTGGTGAGCGCACGCACCCTATACCGAAAACCTCTCCAAAGAAAAAAAAAAAAAAAGAATGAGCCGGAGCCTCCACTCACATCCACTCTCTGCAGCTGATGAAGACGACGAGTTCGAAGACCTCTTCTTGGATGACACACCTGTGAGGACGCTGTTTCCTGAGAGCTGGCTGTGGAGAAAGTTCACTCTGCCGAAAAGTGAATCGGGGTAGGACAACAACCCCATGGCAGCAGTTGGTCCCCAACCTTCCAATCTTTAGGGGTCATTGACCATGGATGGTCCCAGTGGTGACTCAGAGTCACCTGGGTGGGGATAAAGATCTCGGTGGAGGGCCAGCAGGTGGCGTGCTGGTTAAAGTGTTAGATCACACACAGCTGACTCTGTGGTTTGAGTCCTGGACCCAGTAGTTTGAAAATCATGTTGGGTACCTATGTGTGCATGGGCAAAATCTCAAGAGAAGAATGGAGGAGAAGGGATTATGGTGTGGCCATCCCCCTGGGGGGAGTGATTTCGAATTTCCCTTTTTCTCTCTCTGATGAGCACACGTGCCCTATAGCCAAAACAAACAGAAAACAAGGGAGGGCCAGCTCCTTGGTACATGATAATGCACTGCTCTAGAGAAGCCAGCTCTAGAGCGATGGTGACCACGCCCCAGGACAGAAACTCCTCAAGCCAGAGGCTCTGTCCAGGCAGCACAAACTCAGAGACATCCCCCCACCACTGCCAACAGCGTCTCCCACTATACCATCACCACGAACGTGCCAGATTCCATCACCACATGGCAACTTGTAGCAGTCAGTCTCAAGGCCGGACAAGGTGACCCTCGCGAGCTCAGCGTGGAGGGCACGGGAGGATGGTGGCCTTTCCTAGTCCCGGGGCACGTGGCCTCTGCTCAAGCCCAGTGAGAGCCCTTGGTTGTAGGTCTTTGCGTCTCGGACCCCTTTGAGCTGACAGTCAGGAAACCATTCTTCGTGGACCTCAAGCTGCCCTCGTCTGTGGTCAGGAATGAGCAGGTTCAGCTCCAAGCTGTGCTGTACAATTTCCTGAACCGTCAAGTCAAGGTGAGCCCTCTCCTCCCAGCCCAGCGCCTGTCAGTGTGTAGATAAGGGGGGCAGCAGATGGCGTAGTGGTTACCTTGCTGGGCTCCCACATGGCCGACCGCGGTTTGAGTCTCGGACCCAGTGGGTTTGAACTCACGCCAGGCGCATGTGCATGCCTACCCAAGACGCCAGGAGGAGAACCAAGAAGGGATTATGGCGTGGCCATCCCCTCTGGAGGGTGATTTCTTGCTTTCTGTCTCTCTGTGTCTCTCCAGGGAGTGTACACACCCTATGGGGCATAGTGGTTAAGGCTCTGGACTCCCACATGGTTGACTGTGGTTCGAGTCATGGAGCCGGCAACTTGCTTTTTCACTTTCTCTTTCTCTCTACGTGTCTATCTCTGGTCAAATTAAATAATAATAAGAATAATAACTAATGTAATTAAATAAATAAATAATTCTTCAAAAAAAAAAGAAAAGAAAAGCAGACAGGGGTGGTGGGGAGGTAGCAGGTGGCGTGGTTGTTAAGGTGCTGGATTCCCACATGGCTGACCACAGTTTGAGTCCCAGAACTGGTGGCTTGTTCTCTCTCTCTCTCTCTCTCTCTGGTGAGCACATGTGTCCTATAGCAAATTTAAAAAAATAATAATAATAGGAAAAGCAGTTGTTGTAATGGCTATGTTGCTACACTCCCATGTAGTCGACTGCAGTTCAAGTCCCGGACCAGTGGGTTAAACTCACGACTGGTGTGCGTGCATTCATGCCCAAGATCCCAAGAGAATGGAGGAAAAGGGATTGTGGTGCAGCCAACTCCCCTGTGGGCTGATTTCTCATTTTCTGTCTCTCTGTCTCTCTGTCTCTCTGGAGAGCGCACGTGCCCTATAGTAAAAACCTCTCCAAAAAAATAATAATAATTAGTTTAATTTAATTAATAATTCTTAAAAAAAAAAAAAAAAGCAGATGGTGTCCAGCAGGTGGCATGAAGGTTTAGGGCACTGGATCCCCCATTGCTAGCTGCACAGTTCAAGTCCCAGATCCAGCAGCTTGAGAATCATGCCGTGTGATAGGCATGTGTGCCTAAGATCCCAGGAAGAGAATGGAGGAGAAGAGATTGTGGCATGGCCGTCCCCCCTGGGGAGTGATTCCTCACTTTCCCTTTCTCTCTCTCTGGCAAGCACGTGTGCCCTATAGCAAAAACTTAAAGAGAAAAAAGAAAGAAAGAAAGAAAGAAAGAAAGCAAGCAAGCAAGCAGATAGATATATCCATTATTCTAATGGGTTAATGAACTGGAAACTCTAATGGAAAGCTTGTAAAGTTTCTCCTTATTTCAGCCTCCTAGTAACCTCCTCAGATGGGTACTGTTTTTTTAATTTATTTATTTAACTTTATTTATTCATTTGCTTATTTCAATTTGACCTAAGAGAGACAGAGAGAGAGAAAGTGAGAAAGCAAGCCGCCAGGTCCAGGACTCGAACTGTGGTCGGCCATGTGGGAATCCAGTGGCCTTAACCACCACGCCACCTGCTGGCCCCAGATGGGTACTATTATTGTTGGTTCCGAATTGAGCAAACTGAGGCACAGAGAGGTTAAAGGGCTCGCCTGAGGTCACACAGCATGTCAGTGGCAGAGGGGGCCTCTGACCAGGCAGGGTCTGTGTGCTCACTTATTTGGGCTTCTCAGGTGGGAGCAGGGAGGGGACTGTCACCCCCATGCATCGAGACCCTCCCCCCACCATCCTGCCCTAGGTCCGCGTGGAGTTCCCCCACCAGGAGCCACTGTGCAGCGCGTCCAAGCCGGAAGCCCCCACCCGCAAGGTGGTGGTCGTGCCTCCCACATCCTCCAAGATGGTACCTTTCGTCATGCTGCCTCTTGAGATAGGCAGAGTGGACGTGGAAGTCAAGGTTGTGGGCTTCGGGGTCCAGGACCACGTGAAGAAGACGCTCTTGGTCCGGGTAATCGGCACCCCCTATCTCTTGCTGGAGGCACGGACAGCAGGGCTTCCCCTGCATCCCAGGGTGTTGGTCACGGGAAGGGCAGGTGGGTGATGCATGAACAGTTGGGAGCGAGGTATGAGAACGGATTTGCAGTTTCAGCTCGTGGGCTGGATCGAGGGGCTCCCAAAGCCAGTCTGCAGCAGACAGCGAGAATTGGAACTCCGCTCTCTGGGCCCGCACCCTGCCCTGGCAGCGCAGCGTCCTGTCCCTGTCCTATGGATGATCAGTATTACCCTTGTAGCTAACTTGCTTCCTCATTTCACCCCTCAGGCGGGCGGTCAGACAGAACACATATTTGACAGCATCGTCCTGAACCCCCAAGGTTTGTGAGATCTACGGGACACGTGGGATCCTGGGAAGGAGGGAGGTGGGGGGGTCGGAGCTCCCCCATGTCCTGTGCACCCTGACCTCCCAAGCCCCAGAGCCTGTTGTCACCGAAAGTTGTGCCTGCCCAGGAACGACCTATACGCATAGAGTGCCGAAAAGGGAAATTTTCAACCTGGTGCCAGGCACGCAGGCAGAAGTGTTCATCAGCGTTCAAGGTGCGGTAGGGGATGCTAAGTGGGCGGGGCCTCGGAGTGGGCGGAACGCGTTGTGGGCGGGGCCGGCGAGCTAGGAGGGGCTGTGGCGGTGGGCGCGACCGCGGAGGTGGGGCGTGATGTGGGCGGGGCC